CTCCCATAATTTTGAACTGACTACAAGTTTAAAATAGTATATTCCTAAGTTCTTAGGTTTTCGCTATTGTTAAATGACGACTTTAACAGGTCCAATGGTCACAAGTGACCTGACAGATCTGTAACAGGTTTGTTAAAAAAAACAATTGTAATGATTTAGATTCGGAAAAATGTTTAATTTCTTAAATATTATTAACAGAAAAATACAAATTATGTACAGATCATATAAATGACGAAGAGAAAGGTCTCTTCTAGAGAAAGGTTATAGGGATAACTAACTATAAAAGAATGTTATTAGTACAGAGTCATTTTTCTATTTTGAATACATTCCTTTATGAAATAGAACCATTAAATTCAAATAAAAAGTGATGTTCCGATTCATGTCAAACTTAAAAAATAGTCCATATTTCTCTAACAATTGAAGTAAAACATCATATAATTCTGTAATTTTCAAATTTCACCCTTGATTTTACATTAGAAAAATAATTGATTACAATTTAGATATTGTGAAATTCTCCCACAATTCAGATAAATTATCGTTAGAAAACTGAAAATTACATTATTCTAATTCTTGATAAATCCAAGACAAATTATGTTAAATTAATGGTTTTTAAATGACAATCACCAGACGTTTCCAAATAAAGTTATGTGAATTGAAGTGTTTTTTTATTTCAATACAATTTAAAACACCATTCCAAAGCAAAATAAAATATTTGACATGATCGCATTCTGAACATAAACAAGATCGCTTAGAAAAAATGAATTTTCATTTCAAAAAAGGAATCATATATAATGGAATGTATCAAAAGTCTCATTGCATTGTGAACATAAACAAAAGATCGCTTAGGAAAAATGAATTTTCAAAGGAAACATGCCATTAGGATATCCAAGAGATAATAAAGCGGTGAATAACAATTGCGGAATTAAAAAAAAGTCTTACAGGCAATTCTTAATCCCTTTTAACGTTAACCAACATGTAGAACAATTAATTTGAAGGAATATTTATTTGGCTTTAATTCAATTCACGCAGTTAACAAACTGAATGAAAAATGCTTGTCCTCACCCAGGAGCACAATTTATACGCCTCAAAACCATTGTATCTATAAACAGTCTTAATGTTGTATATGTTTAAATAATAGTTTAAATAATAGTTCTCTATAAATGGTTTTAGAAAAAGAAATTGTTCTTATAGACTTATTTTCCTCAAGTCAAAATTTTAAAACCTTAATACCAAACAATTAAGTGTGATCTCTCTTAAGACTTACTCTACTTATAGTACTTATATTAAGTTCATTTCTAGATCAGCTGATTATTTTTAGTAAAATTGTTCTATACATATCCAATAAAGTCTATTAATACTCTAAAAACTTAAGAACACTAAATAATATAAATAATAATAAGTTCTTAAGTTTATTCTAGATATATTTCATTCATAGACATTCTGTAGTGTTTACACTTATTAACAAACATCTTCCTCCCTCTTCAGTAGATTTTATTTAAAAAACACTATAGTTAGGCTTTCTACTCTACTGGACGTTGTAAGTTCATGGATAAAGTAAAGAATACTAAAAATCTGGTATAGGTGGTGAACCTTGAATATTATGTCTAGAGATGAGATTAACTGCTATATTCGCATAGCGCGCTAAATGCTAAATGCAAAATTTTTATAGCGCGCTATTTAAAGTGCTAACATTATAATTTTTAGCAGCTCAAGGTCGTGTGATAATGCAACGAATGGAAAGAAACGTGAAATAGTTGACGCGTGCTGACTTGCTAAGTATAGCATCTGTAGTCTATCTATAGAATACAGTTTTTTACCGCTAGTTATGACTGGCTTCATTTGTTTTGTAACTATTACGTATGATGGTTACAGGTTATAGAAGATAAATTAATGAACTTCCCTTCATACTTAAACAATTTACTATTTACAATTTATTATTTTTATTATATTTACTATTACAAAACTTTACGCTGGTTATTTATAGTAAATTACACTCATACTAATTCTTTCTCCTACTTTTATATACAAATATTACAACAACTTATTAATTAAACAAACGCAACAAACTAAATAAATCCAAGTAATTATATCTTAAATTAAATCGCTTCACCAGACAAAATTTTGCTAATGTTCCACCATTACCTCAAAATCATATTAAAACATAACCAAAATTATAATTTATAACATAACTACAACTGTATTAATAATTATAACAAACTAGTGGAGTCATTTCACAAAAAATTATTGAATATCAATTCAATAAAAATTTAATTAATACAGTGAATAGCGA